GGTTGTTAATAAAACTTTTCGTCCGATTCTGTGTAGGCAGAAGGAGCTGAAAAAAGAACTGGCACCCTTTGTCGCGTCTTTATTTTGTTCTGGACCAATTTATTTTTCCCCTTCTTCCCCACCTTCCTCTCTCTTAATTCTATTTCAAGGAACTTTGTTTCCTTTCTCAGTAGTTTTTTTCTTATTTACGACTATTTTTTCTGACAAAGCTTTGGAAGAATTTTAACTTAAATCTTTTATTTTTAATCCACACGATACTTTTTTATCCGACTTTTTTATTAATAAAATGTTTCTTGCTTGCACAATATATATGTTTGTGTGTGTTAATATAATATATATATATATATATATATATATATATATATATATATATATATATATATATATTCGGCTTGACCAAGGTGATAGTTCCATTGTATAGTGTAAATTTTGGTAAATTCACCTTACAGTTTTGTGTCAGACTCAGGTGTAATTACCTCATTATCTCTGCACATTTATTAAATAGAACTTCTCAGTCAAAGAAATTCCGCCTGTAATTTTATAAAAACAGTTCGATAAAATAAGCCAAAGATGCAGTTGCTGAAAAGCCCGAGTCTTTCCCTTATTTGCTTGTGAATTGTCGGCAGGATTGACTGACCATCTGAGCAATTAATTGCCTCCCTTAGCATAAGACTGACGGATCACTGTCGGTGGCAATATCGATTGTGTCACCTTTTTTTTTACTTACAGTCAATCTCTTATTCTGACAATTGAAATCACGCCCGTTGGCATCTTATACGAACAGCATTATAATAAGAAAGAATTCTATTAAATACTTGCTTAACTTGCAAGTGGCTCATGTTATAAGGTAGGAACCGAAAGTACAACCACCTTACAAATTCCACCATTCTTCTTTAAGTGATATTCTATAATAAAATATTAATTTATATACTATATATATATATATATATATATATATATATATATATATATATATATATATATATATATATATATAAGCAAATGCAAACTATTATCGTGATAAACAAATATTGAAACCATCATAGACCGGATATATAGGCTCTACAAGTACACAACTGAGATTCTTAGGAACGTGAATGTACCAGTTGATTAAACAAGTGCTATTCTAATATGGTTATGGTAATGATAATATCAGCCGTTTCCTTATAAAGAAACATTCGATATTCAAAGACCGAGCTGCCAATATTACTGTGAGTTGAAACTTATACTGACTCTTAAATTCAATTTCAGAAAACTAGGTTTTCCAAGGCCAGTAACTGTTATAGTTCTTTCCAAAAATGACGGGAATGTCCTTTTATTTGATGTTGCATGTCAACAGCATGCTTATGTAATTATTTCCTTTTCAAGTTACATGTCGCTATCCATTTCAGCTGCTTTTGACGTTGGAAAAGTTATGTGACTTTTCTTACTTGGCACAGTTTGATTGTGATTGTGTAGCGTCAATCCAAAGGTTCGAAGAAGTGTGGTCTACATCAAAACCCAAAGTCATTTTAACTATTGATCTGAGAAAGCGGTTTACATACAGCTGACAGTTTAGATATTTCTGAACGGGTGTAGTGCCATGCATGACATTCATATAACACTTTCGATCTAACCAGGCTAGAAATATGAGGTTTTATTTTAGGTTAACGTTTTGGTTTTGTAGCAACTTGCTGTGTTGGGCGAAACTACACCTAGCGCAACCTAATTTATGTTCAATTTTATTATATCCTATGCTAAGTTTAATCCTTTTCATGTTCAGCTGGAATGACCACTGGCATCATATGGATAAAATAATTATAATTAATATATATCCAATATCAGTTGACTAATAAACACGTGAAGATGACCAGGGCCACATGACCACCTCAACAGTTATAATAAGCAAGATAGAAACAATAGTCTGAATAATAAAAGTAAGTGGATATTATTCTCTGTCTGATACCAAAACTGTAGAAGTAATAATGTTAATTTTGTTTAAATTCTGAATTTTTAACTCTGAGTTATGATCTAATTTTCTTCATTTTTTGACTGTATTTCTCAAGATATTTCGAATGTTAAATCAGCATATAATCAGAATAATAATGATTGCGATTGACATCTGAAATAATTTAATTTCTCCCGGGTACACGACGATTTAGAAATGCACTCACGAAAACTAAATGGTCACGCATAATTATATTCTGTAGTCGTATTTCTAATTTTTTTTCTTTTCCTTTATTTTTCACACAACATTGTTTGTTTATTCGATTGACATCTTTGTTGCAGTTGTCTGAATTCTTCTTAATACTACAGGGAATTATTTTAGATTCGAATCTTAAGTAATTCATCTTATAGTTGTTTTTTATCACAACGTTTTAGGTAGAGTTACCCTGCAATATACAATCAGAACAACATTGGAGTTCACTCACATCTTGTATAATGACAATTCACCTTAAAGGGATTCTGTTTTCTATAGTTTGATTATGGAAGTTTATTTTTCAACGTTTCGAATTGATAATCATTTACGATGAATCTTTGTTACATTACAAGTCTGCAAATTGTTGTTCTTAGCTTAAACATAACTAAAATCTTTTTTAATACTGCAATAAACAATGTTAACCAGGTCTTTCATATATTGCTTCCATGACAGAACACTATTTGTTTCATTTTTTTTCCAGTAAAAATAAAGCAGAAAGCAATTATATCGCTATAATGTTTTATTTTTTAAAACATTAATCTAGCGCTTATTTTTAAAAGCAAGTTGATTCAATGGTCATTTCTTGCGTTGAAATATATATTTTTGCCTCCTCTCGTTTGGGTTTCAGAATCTTTTAGCTGTTAATGGTTTGTCCTCTTGTCCTTTTATTGAGTTCTTGTCATGTGCTCTCTTTCTTTCAACACTTCTCTCTTTGATTAAAAGGTCACGTGATGAAAATATCTTTAACATTCTAAATATTGTCAGTCGTGCCATCTTGTGAATGGTTTTGAGGCTTTCTTGGATTTCTTCTTATATAGTTTTTTTTTTTTTTTCCTAGAATTATATGTGATCTTCGATCGTGGCTTTGTGTGATAGACAGGAATATCAAATTCTCTGAGGTTTCTGTGTGCTTTTAAATGTTGAAACAGATAATGTTTGGTACATCTATGACAGTTTTGTATAGTTCCCAGGAAATCACCATTCTCAATGAGTTATCCGTATTTTCTATTGTCTCATAACTTATTTAATCATGATTTTATAGAACTGACCCCTTAATTGGGAGTTTCGCATAATCATTTCCTTCTTATTTGGGTTCTCTGTATTCTTATTTCTTAATTGTTTTTTTTTTTTTACCAACGCTCTTAGGGATTTAGTTTCCCTATTTATGTTTCCTTTTCGCAACCATATCTATGTTGTCTCTTTGAAATTTATCTTCAGATATTTCTGAATAGTTGTTTTGTACTTTGTTCATTTTATATTAAGACTTTCCTGATTCCTTCTATTTTTTTCCATTTTATTCTAATTCAAACAGTAAGTTTTATTTTCTGTTAAATATCATTACCTTTACGCAGTGAATTTATGCGTAAGGGCATGTAACAAACTCGACTGAAATGCAAAATCGGCACTTCTATTTCTCATTCTGAACTGCTAGCTACTCACACATATCTTTTCAGCCCAGGTATGGACTTGGCTATTTAGCCTTGGTTGGCCACCACTCTAGAGCAACATCAATTCTGAATTCTAAATATGACGAACGAAGGAAACCCTTACAAAAGTTACGGTGAAGACGTCGAAAGTAGGTTGTTAGATGTGATCAATAATAGACTCTAATAGATCATATTTTTCGAATTTCAAAGCACTGGTGTGGTGCAAAAAGATACTTGATAATGGATAATGAATGCGACCTAATTATTTCAGGTCAGATAGCATGATGCAGATTATGTCTTGTGTCGCCTAGCATAAGCACAACCGAACCCTCTTGGAGTTGTGTCCCGACAGATAACAATATTACCATTAACGTTTTCTAACTGACAACGTCTGGTGGAATATTCATAAATTTATATTCTTCGCGTTTTCTCATATTCTGGTCATTCTCCAATGATTTCTGTTGTAACTTTTCGCTGCTAATCATCAGTCAGTTCAATGTCGTCCTCAAATCATTCGTTAGCAATTTGAAGTAACCATCATTGTACATGAATTCTTTTCATCTCTTTCATTGCCACAGTTTTTCGAAGTCATCTGGCGCATGATATATTCTAAGCCCTGTCATAATCTAGTTTTGTGATCCCAAATTCTCAGCCATTATCTCCTCTTCATGTTCTCTTTTCGTATTTTGAATATTGCTTTTGGGAAGTTTACAAAATTCATTTAGGGTTGGTTTATATTGTCATGCTTTCGCCTCAAAGGCAATAATGTTCTGTGGAAATGATTTTCGCTTCGTTAGATTTGTTCTAACCTGCAATCTCGAAAGTATATTTCATTTTTGCCGGTGTCCAGTGCGTAACAACATCGTTCATTTTCATTTCCATTAGCTCTATTTTGCTTTCATTATTACTCTTGTGTGTGTTCACATTTTATCTTTTGATATAATGTTTAATCGTATACCTAAATGTCAAAACCGTTTTCAAATTTACAAATTTATTTTTCAAGATTGCAAATGTAAAGAGTTTTTAAATCTATGAATTTCATTCAAGCAAAATGTGTCTATTGTGAAATGTCTGAAATTGGAACAGTGCATTTTTCGAAATTCTTCTTTCCGTAGTGGATATTCTCCATTGAAATATGGCGATGCAACTCCTATGCTTTGTAACGTGAACCGGAAAGTTCAGTGTACTTATTTTTTTAAAATATCTAAACCCTTCAAGGAACAATAGATATTCAAGGTATATGGAAAGAATAACATATTATGCGGCTTTGTGAAGAAGATAACAGTTCATCCTAGTCTGCAATAGGTTAAGAATGTAATGATTGACGTTATAACCCACTCTCTTCTCGTACACGTCTCCTAGGTCCCATTGGTCTCGTTTCGCATTCTGTTGACATGTATCGGATCAGTTCGCATCCCGCTTGTTCTGTTATCTCTATCCTCCCAGGGCGACTGGATGAGGAGAGTTATACAGCCTCCAAACGAGTTTAGGGTTTAGTGCAAGTATAAGTCGTCGATCGTTCAGTCTTGGTACTTCAAGTGTTGTGATTCTTACTGATGAAGAAATTTGTCTTTCTTTTTTAGTCAATAAGCCGTGGTAAACTTCTTGTTGACGATTGGGCTGACTGGAAATAGTCAAGCTCTCACCGAAGAAATAATAATGCCTGTTTGGGTTAAATATAGAATTATAGACGATTTAATGAAGGTGAATATAGTAATTTAAAATTGGATAAATTTGGCATCTACTAATTCAAAATATCAGGAGGCGACGGCTTAGAATCTCGATCTATGTGTTCAGCAAGGTTAAATCAGAAATTCAAGTGAATATTGGGTCGCTTCCTCGTGTGGGTGTGCAATTACGTGTCTGACTGACAGCACGTTCCTCTCTGTTGTCCCGACCCGGCTCGTCTCTATTTCTCAAAATCGATCTGAATTTAGATATAATTCTCCGCTCACATATCAAACTGTTCATACGCCAAAATAACTCAATTTTCCTTTGGCTAAAGTCGAGGCTAAAAAACAAAATGCTATGCTTTGATTTTACTCCATTTCATTCAGAGCCATAACTCCAAAACCAAAACATATTCGGCTGACATATGCGTCAGAAACCAAATCAAAAACATGCTCTGACCTGTCCAATTCGAGGTCATGCCTGGCCTTTCGACAAATATTCACGCATGGGAAAATTAACAAATACTTTCCAAATCGTCGCCATGAAATATAAAAACTACGACACCTGCCATTAATAAGTTACCTTGTTTGACTTATCTTAGAATTCGGTTAAACAAAGCAGTGTTTCGTGGGAAGGAGACGCTCTAGTGGAACATCCATCTCCTTAATGGAATAAGAGTGGTTCGCTACTTACAGTCTTGTAATAGTGGTTATTGTGTTTTCTAATCTTACATGTACATTGTTCAAGTAATTCCGAACAAATATTAACATGTAAAGGAAAATATAATCCAGAGAAAAACAGTATATTTTCAAAAGTAACGTAGCTTCTTTGTGACTTTTCTATAAACATTTTCATGGTAATTGTTCTTACAAGTTTTACTATTCGATACGTATATTTTGCAAATTTAAGCGCAGTACTAAATTGTTAGCAATGTTGCATGATTTTACAGTAGAAATTGTTAGATATAACCCTAAGTTCTATCCTAACAGTTTTCTTCTCTGACACTTCCCACTTGTCGAACTTTCTTCAAGTATACAGCTTTTCAGTCACCAGACAAAGATTAAAACGGAAGGTCAATCGCTGTCTTCTATATTTTTATTTCCAGTTTTATTGCTTTTTGATAATATCTTCGCTTTTTTCATATTTTCTCTCACTCATTAACTCCTTTATTCCTTCCGCTTGAATATCCTCACATATCCAACGTAGAAATACAGAAAATATTTATTCAATAAAATCGACTTCATTTTCTAAAATGCAACTCCATGCACATATCAAAGGCTATTCATTGAGACTTGCATTCACATTATCAGTGGTGGCTTACGATTTCCTTCCTCTCATAGACGCCCCAAAGAGTAGCCTCAGCAATTCAAATCAGAGGGTCATATGTTGAAGGTAATATGATCCTCAAAATTATCGCATTCCAAAGGAAGAATAGAAAGATAGTCCTACCCACGAAGCAGTGATGTCTACAGCGTCTGACACCCCAATTCTGTCGATGGAATTGATCCTGACGACTCTCTGAAATAATGGAGTGTTATCATATGGCTCTCGTGGCACTAGTTCTCCAGTTGTCATTTTTATCGTGGTGAATGATGTTATTTTTTGTGTATATTTTGCATGCCTTTCTCTTATTATGGCGGCTAAAATAATAAGCATATTGGAACTTTTCAATTTCCTATCCAGGTAAGTATTGAGCATATTACCTATATAATTGTATTTTTTATCAGATCGAGCTACTTGCGGATGAGTTCAGATAGTTCAACAGGGCCGCCATTATGCACATCTCTTTTAATCCTTGCGTGCCTCCACTTCTCATCTTCAAAGTGATCGTCTTCCACTAGTTAGCAGCCTCATTCCAATTATTGCGATCAGATACACATTCTTCCCAGTTCTCACAAGGAATATTACATTTCTTCAGCGGATCCTTGATGCAGTCCTTAAAGGTCATCGGAGGTTTGACGGCATTCCTCTTCCCTGTTCGCTGCTCATCATAAAATAATTGCTTTGGAATACGGCTACCATCCATTCTGACGAAGTGTCCCGCCCAACGAATTTGATGTTTTGGTATCAAGGACTCAAATACTATCACAGCCGCTCGACTCTAACACACCTACATCGCTAACAAACATTTGCTAGGTAATGCCAACGTTACAACGTAAGCAGTAATGGTGGAATATCTCATGTATATAGCAAGGTTGCAGTTCTTAAAGGCCTGTTCAAAAACGATAGAGAATACAAGTATAGGGTTTGGTAAAAGGAATAACTAAATATTAGCAACCGTAAACGCGTGTGCTGGCGTGCATACACTGGTAAGCAAATAAATAATTACCAAATTTTGCCAAGAGGTGTAGACATAATAGTGCTCGATGTGGTTAGACATCGCTAAGAAATATATATTAATAAATATACACGTACCTACATTTGGGTACAACATATAGTTTATTGTCTATTTTTCAAATAAGCAATAAGCTATATCTTGTGCCCGATGAGTTGGGTCACCAACAAAACTTAAGTCATACACCAAACGTAGGTATATGTGTATTTATTTATATATATATATATATATATATATATATATATATATATATATATATATATAAAGATATGGTTTGTGGTACAAAATTTTATGACCGCCATGAAAAGGCAAAATGTATTTTTATTACCATTCCTGATGATAATACATAATAAGTAAAACTGAAAAACCTGGTAGCTAACCAGTTTCGAACCTCGCTCAACAAAGCTAAATCGAGATTAATAAATTTAATAGGATTATTACTAAAATATGGAGAATATGTATTGTTTAGATGGAAATTAGTTGGAAGCCTAGTACGAAGTCCTTCTGTTTACACAGAGAGGGCTTCGACGATAAAATATAAATGGCCTCCAACACTTTTAAGTCGTAACTCGAGTGGAACTTGATAAGAATGGTAAATGACTCAACACTGAAATTAATAACACAATTATGGCTATTTATTAGGTGCTCTGGGTGGAAGACCCATATGTATTGGAATGTCTGGAAGAGTGTACATAAAATTGCGGCTATTCGTTGCTTTATTCTGACATCCAGTCTTTGAGTCGTTCTACCATTGTAGTGTGAACCACAACTAAATTTAAAGGAATAAATTAAAGAACTATTATGATGTGTAGGGAGAAACTCTTTCCGCATGGACGGAAAAACATGCTTGGCAGAAAAGACCACACGAGGGTTAGCGGCAAAGTAACAATGTTGAACTTCTATGGAAACCTACCTAGCATATCTATCACTGCTATTACCCAGCCAAGAGAGGCGCAGATACACAGGACATCTTTGTAGCAGGTTTCACTTTATTGAATTCAGCAATGTTATTATTAATTATTGATTGAAAAATGTCCAACGGATAGACATTATTACAACGACTAGTTGTAATAAACCTAAGTTCATCATCCAACTTAATTTTAGAACAGATCATTAGAGCTCTATGGGTAAGGGTTTTAATTAAATTAATTTTACGTTTTACGGGACAAAAAGAATCCCAACGTATATATAAACCATTAAACGTCGGTTTACGATAAACAGATGTAATAAATCCCGACGAAGATCTGCTGAACAAAACATCAAGAAAGGGAAGAGAAAAATAAACTTCCATTTCGTGTGTAAATATTAAATAGGGATGCATATTATTAAGGGACGAAAGAAAATGGAGCGCTTCAATATCGTTATCAAAGAGACAGAAGGTGTCATCAACGTAACGGAAGTAAACGTCAGGTTTATTAGGTTTCAATAACATACTCTCTTCGTGTAATCCAACAGCGATATTTGCTAAAATTGGTCTCAAGGGAGAATCCATCGAAACACCATTAACTTGCCTCAACATGTCGCCGTCGAATCTAAATTCGACTGACATCGTGGCAAATATCATGGGTTCGACGAAAACGTCCCCATGAATAACAGGCGGAGACAATTGACTACGATATAGGGCATCAGCACATATATCGATAGTCTCAGTAAGTGGAACACAGGTAAATAGACTGGAAATATCGTAGGAACACATAAATTTATCCATCAACATCCATCCATTATAACACAAATCATAAAAAACATAAAATCAGAGAATTCGAACGAATCTTTAATACAACTAGATTTATATTGTCCCAAAACTGGCTGTAATATGGTAAAAAGACATTTAGCCACGCCATGTTGGAAAGACCCTATCATGGATATAATAGGTCTCAATGAAATCCCAAATTTATGAGATTTGGGTAAACCATAAAGACGGGGACTAATGGAAACCGAGGGTCTAATTAAATTAGAAATGTCAGTGGGCAATTTTCCATTTTTACCCACTTAATTAGACGTTTTTGGAACTTAGCCTCAATAGATAATGTAGAATCAAATGTCTCTATTGAGCCTCACTAGACAAATTTAGAGGAATCCCCAAGAATAATCATCTTATTAACATAATCTTCATAATCAAGAATGACAACACCAGTGCCTTTCTCAGGTTTTTAATCACCAAATATTTCGAATTGCTTTGATTACCAGATATTGACCCCTGTTCCACTTTGATTCATTATGGGAAATAGGAATACCTGCGTAAGAATGTGCTATATTGTTTTAGCTTTGCTTTATGGTCACAGATTGAGATTGAAGCTTGGCTCGCCGAGCAAAAAAAAAAAAAACCCTAAAACATCAAACTCTGAATAAACTTCTTCTCGCTTAATATGCGGGGGGGGGACAGACATCTAATCCATGCGATAGAATTAATAATTCTAACGCTGTCACCTGGTATGAAGAAAGGTTCAGAACATTCCTACCAAAACCAGGATTAGCAGAACACACACATCTTTAATAAACTAAATGTTGCAACTGATTCTGATGTTTAGAAGCAAGTTGAGAACGACTGCGCTCATGAATAAGTGCAGCATAACAGAAAAAACGAATCGTATCAAAATAGGAAACTAAGCCCATTGTATTAGTCCATAATTGATAATATTTCTTATACAATTTGGCAAGACTATATGAGCTTAAAGTATGAAGTTGGTAATAAATGCCTCTTCAGTTTTCTGCCATACTCGTGATTCAGTGTAGCACTGCCTCGTCAAGGGAATTGACGTATCACTCCGTGTTGAGTCTGAGAGCCATATATACAAATTCGGGAGTTCTTTAGTTATCAAAACGATCAGTGTGTGTTTTTCCGAGTTGCTGTCTCTTTGTAATGACCATTAGACTCACCCAACTATTTCTGAATCCGCTGTAGTCTTCTCAGATTGACACCTAAGCACTCTGATCTATCTATCTATCTATCTATCTATCTATCTATCTCTCTATATATATATACGAAAAGCAGTGAGATTTATAATCCAGAGTTTTTCACATTTATTTTTATTCTTAAAAAACAATGCTCAATACTAATAAAATTTTTTTAAAAAATATGTTTCCATCGCGACACAGAAATTTCTATTTCAAACAGAAACTTAAATCCAAAATTTAATTTTAAAAAATAAATTAAAAATCCAGAGTTTCGTTCCATCGTCAAGTGATGCTAAGAATAACTTTCTAAGAAACAAATTATTTAATTAAAATTATTTAATAAATAATGTAAATTAATTTCTTCATTTTAATTTTAATTTTTTGGGGATTGAAATTTCAGTTTTGAATCATAGAAATTTCTGACACGATGAAAACATTTTAAAATATTTATAATTTAATATATATATATATATATATATATATATATATATATATATATATATGGTTGGATAGATGTGAGTTTGTGACCCTGGGTTTCACGCTTTAGCGATCAAAGGACAAACTGATTAATTTTTAAAAATTTGGGGTTTATGTAGATTGCGTGTATTGGTGTTATCTCTGATATTGAGCGCATTCTAATAAGTACCATATAAATAATTATACATATATCACATATAAATAATTATACATATATATATATATATATTTATTATATATATATATATATACACACACACACACACACACACACACATATATATATATATATATATATATATATATATATATATATATATATATATATATATATATATATATATATATATATAAATAAAAGTATAAAATTTAATATTACGAGACATTAAAAATAACGGTTGAAACAACCGGTTTCGCTCCCGCTCTTCAGGCTTCAACGGGAGATTGAAAACACAGAAAAATGTACAATAAAAGGAATTGTAAAATTGTAATTGTATTTTCTTTTTTTTTTTTTTACAATACCTTTTTAATTTACATTTTTCTGTGTTAATTTTAAATCTCCCGTTGAAGCCAGAAGAACGGGAGCGAAACCGGTTGCTTCACCTGTTTTTTTTAATGTCTCGTAATATTAAATTTTATACTTTTATTTCGATCATTAAATTCATTAAAATCATTCTTTTATTTTTATTTTTATTTCACAATTTTTATTATAATACATTTAATATAATATTTATTTTTTAATAAATCAAAATATTACATTTTTTGCAGGTAAAGAGCAGTGTGTGTATGACGAGGTAAAACAGTTTTAACTTTTGATGGATTCAGATGATTAATATTGATACCAATACAATATGTTTTGTGCACACCTCAATTTTTGATTACTGTCTACCTGCCTTTGCACACACCTTCTGTTTAGAGTCTAGATGACCACATTTTGGATGATTGACGAATTCTTTCAAAAATATCTGTTCAGGGAATCCGTTAGCTGTTAAGAAGTTGTCAGTTGTGTTGGTGCCCGAATGTTTGAGTGACGAAAATGAAGTCTATTGTATGTAAACTTACGTGTGCACTTGATAATGTCCTGAAACTTCAGTATCTGTCTATATTTACTAGATGACGTATCATGTATACTATTTACATTATTCGGACTATTGTTCTCATCTTTGCCACCATATTTCGGCTGTTGTACTCTCCGGCCTTCTTCAAGTGGTTGGAATGTCGAAATGAACCCTTTATTTCGCTCACTTGGCTAGACACAGGGTTTCGACATTACAACCACCTGAAGAAGAACGGAGCATACAACGGCCAAAACTTTGTAATAAATATGGCGACAAAAATGAGGACAATAGACCGAATAATGTAAATAGTGTATTCTGGAACTTTTTATGACAATCGAACAGAATAATGAAATCAGACGCAGCGTATGGGTTTGTTACGATCGAAAATACACAAATCGAAGACACAAAATACGTATTAACGATCAAAGTAAGTCTTTTCTTGACTTCATAAATGTTTTCATGACTTTTCATCAGAAGTCAATGTAAAATACTTAAGCTAAATTTTCGATTCGGTTGGAATAAAACGTTGAAAGAAAAACGTTAACAGATCGTGCGGAAAGGTTTAGCTTTTTCATCTCAATGGAATTGTTCAAAGAGTTGACAAAACGATGTTATGTGAACAGATCATCCAAACTACTGACATTTCTTCCATTTACCTATTTCCTGGATCCACTCCTTAAAATCGATTTTAGGAGAGACGACGATAAATCAAATGATTCATTGATCACAGCTGCAGCAGCAGCAGCAGCAGCAGCCGAACCGAGTCCAAACATCAGACATCTTTAAAGGGCACTAAGAACTTGATAAAGATTTTATCAGGTGGTTTTACATGAAAAACGAATATATGCATTTGCAATTATGTTTCACAGCTGATATCATTCTCTGCTTGCTCGAACCAAGAACATTTCACAGGCTATCTATCTATCTATCTATCTATCTATCTATCTATCTATCTATCTATCTATCTATCTATCTATCTATCTATCTATATATATATATATATATATAGAGAGAGAGAGAGAGAGAGATCTATCTATCTATCTATCTATCTATCTATCTATCTATCTATGTATATATATAGAGAGAGATAGATAGATAGATAGATATCTCTTTCTTTCTCTGTCTCTGTATCTCTATCTCTCTCTCTCTCTCTCTCTATATATATATATATATATATATATATAGATAGATAGATAGATAGATAGATAGATAGATAGATAGATGAGATCGTCTGTGAAATGAAGCGATATCGGAGAACAATAAAAGGAAAAATGGAAAATATTGACAAGATAAGAATAAAAAATATGGGGAAAAATAAAATGGAATTAAATAAAACTATCTGGAAAGGTTTTGTTGCTAATTCAAGCTAAAGAAAAAATACGTTAAAAACATTGCTTGAAGACATGACAAAAAGTAAACTATTATTTACAATAAACCTCACAAAGAGTAAAGTCTGAATCACAGACGAAGAACTTCATAAAAACTGGTTTCTCAAATGCAATTACTATTAATGACTGTGAAGCTATATCAGATGGACGTGATGCCTATACTAGAATCTGCTCATCACGAAAATATCCAACCAATAGATCTTAAAAGACAATACGGATGGGAGGATGGAATTTAGTACGGCTTATTTTATATTATAAGTCTCTTCGACACTTATGATAATGTCAACGTAATCAGAAAAAATGTTGTGTATCTTCGGATAAGAATTTCTTAAAATGTTACAGCAAACATTTAGCCTCATAGAATAATCAAGCTGAATAATGTTTATTTTCATTTTTCAAGTTTATTAAAATATTTATGCACTGTGTCCATAAAGTTCCTGTGCACTTTAAAAAAATTATATCTTTATTTGTATTTGCGATAGAAATAATCTGTAAAAAAATGGTATAAAGTTTAATGTACCTAGTTTTACGTTTCTTTAATTCTTTAATACAAAATTTTCAACTATTTTTAGATAAGTAAAAATATATTTTCTTTTTTCCAGAATCAATTTGATCCATGGCTTCAACTGAGGTAAAAGTAAACTGTGTCTTTTGGTTGGCTGAACTGAAATCTACTATTGCTGTACAAAGAAAGTTTAGAACTGAATATAATAAAAAAACACCTCATAGGAACACTATTGCTAAATGGATGAAAAAAATTAAAGAGACAGGCTCCGTGGAGGACATGGAAAACTTAAAATTTCAATAAAACCTTAAAAATATAGATTTCCTTCTTTCTAATCCATTTTTACAAATTATTTCTATCGCAAGTACAAATAAAGTTATAAATCATTTAAAGTGCACATGAACTTTATGGACACCCTGTATAAAACCAACATTAACGGAGTTGAAACTTGCAAAATTTCCTGAAAAAAAATCTGGTAATTCTCATTAAAAGACGTGTAAGAAGGTCTTTCGACAACAATAAACTGAATAACCTCATTGTGGGTCTTGATAGTAAAGGAGATATTTAGACTCGTTGGCAACTTCCAGTTACATTAGAAAGATCAACCTTTGTTAAGTAAATTCCGACGTTCAGTTTTGTGAAAAGTTCCTCTGGCGCCGGATTTAGATTTTGATGCGAATTCAAAGAATTATTCTGCCCCTACGAGTGATCAGCACATATCCGGATATTTCAATTTGCCTTATTAACAAATACAATAGGAGTTTCCCACTTAGAGTAATCAACAGGGTCTATTACAGCTACTTGTTGAAAATATTGAACTTCTTTTTCAGAGAAGCATAGATTATTGGCCTTTTTGTTTAAGGATAGGTTCAGAATCTTGTTTTAATTTCAGAGTAGCTTTACTTTTGGAACACCACTTGAAAAACGTCACTGAAATTTTTTTGAAGTTCGTCTGTGAAATGATTTTCTATATCAGAAATCGACGTGAGGCTAAATGTATTGAACACAGATTTGAGAGGAATTTCAAAAAAGGTTAACTTGATCTATCCAGTCAAGACCAATTAAATTAATTTTCGAATTATCTGAGCCATAACACACACCATAAAAATGTAATTATTTCAAAAAGAAACATCGCAAATTAACTCTCCAATTAAAACGAATTGTTCTTCCAGACTCGTTCATTGGTATGTGATTTATTTCAGACTCACATGGCGTTTCAAGCTATTCCCAAGTCGAATGTGGTATTAACATTATGTCCGACGATTTATCAAACAGGAAACGAATTGGTGTTATTTATTGAAACAACAACATATTTTCTGCGTGATTCGTAATCCACTTTGAACGTCGCAAACATTGTGTTTCGATCTTTTACCCCGTTTCGTTTTTTAAATTTTTTTCAGTTTGGATTTTTTGTGATTGCAAAAATCGTACTTTATGTCCGTTCTGGTGACAAATATTGCACTTATGTTTCTTGAATTGACAAAAGCCTGCATAATGTCAGTCGCCACAACAGTAAATTTTGAAGGAGATTTCTTTTCATCACGAAGTTGTTTTCTCACGTGGATGTCTCTGGTTGCTGAAAAAAGCTCGATTTGTGGACCGGCATAGTGTCTGCTGTGATGTTTAAATATTGCATTTAGCAATGAGGGCTTTTAAAGTAAGGTTGAAAGAAGTCGGATGCGAAAATCAGTATGAGTAAAAATATAGTAACCCTGCGATAAAAATCACACATTTAAACTATTCTACTGTGAGGGATTTTAATTTTATGTTTTCGTATTCCCAATTGACATGCACCTCATAATCGTCTTTTGTTAGATGTAAACAATTGAATCGAATGTTAACTAACGATTGTTTTTCACTAAATACTTCACTGAGTTGTCCACTGATTCAGTGAAGGTGAAAGTCGTTCCGTTGTTTGGTAAATTTTAATTCTTATAACGGTCCTATTCCATACTGACCAGTTTATGAATTAAGAGACCAATTTTCCCTTTTTCAAATTTGTGAGAAAAGTCATCATGTAAGGTATCCACCGAACGTTTAAAGCATGAAATGAGTTGTTTTCTACACGCTGGGCCATTTTGGAACTGTGTCATGTTATTGACCACGATAAACGCAGAAATTGTATTTTGATCTCATCCAGCGCGTTAAATTTTGAGTTGATTCTAGAAATAATCTGTAATTCCCCGTGGCGGCTCATGGCTCAGATGAATGTGGGTGATGCTTCATAAAAGTTTTTCCATTGATTTAATGTTGTGTCAAACGAAACAAATGAAAATAAAATGTATACATGAATGGAAAAAATATTTTTACTTAGATATACATTGTTACAGTGTAAGTTTGATCCATTCATTTAAAAATAAAATCTATTCTTCTTGTTTTACATTGAGTGAAATGTTTAATAATTCTTTCCTTGATCCCTAGAGGACATTTGAGAATTGTTTCTCCAATGAAATCATTACAAGTGCATTTAGTCTTTCATGATTCATAGAAAATTCCCTGAAAAAGTTTTTATTATTTTAGTGTTGAAAAGCAACGTTCTGGCTGATTTTGTCATGGGAAGTATCAAGAGGAATTTTTTAAGTTTCGTAAAGAAAAATATTTAGATTATTTTCAAAGATAATTTTTAGTAGTTCACTTAATTTGAATTTCTTCGCTAATCATGGGATATGCTTCAGTGGTCAGTGTTGTCTCTCCTGTAGGTAGTTCATTCTTAAAACTAATGAAGCTTTTCTTGTTGAACAATTTAGTATCTATTAAGTGTTTAGCAGAAGATTATCTGTCTATTACGTCATACACTTCTTTTGCTTCTACCATAAGTGTCTTTGAAAGATTCTCACACTGCCTCGAGATTCTTATTTCTAATATATCAGTTTAGAAATCTGTTATATATTCATGGGATTTAAAAAACACAATATATTGAAATTGGATTTGTTTGTAAACATGAAGCATAATCTGATGAAAAAGCTCTAAGCAAAACATGGAATTAATAATATTTCAGGCAAATCTAACATTCCTGCTGCGTCTGCATTGATTTAATCTGCATTTAGTGTTGATTGAATTTCAGTAACGCGGATTTTTAAAGGTTGCACAACTTTATGAAATTTTTTCAGACACGTATGTTAAAGTTCCACCTTGTAGAGCATAGAGGGAGAATGGTGATGTCAATATGCTTCTTGAGAATGAATACACTTTGTGGTGATCTAGAGAGGAATGCTTGAATAGGCAAAATATTGGAGAAAGATATATTTCCGATCCGCGTAATACTTGCTGCATTACTCATTATTAAATTAAGTTGATGTTCATAACAGTGAATGAAATGTGCATTACTATAAACCGCTTTTATTTTTGCTTGAACTTCTCCTTTTTTTGCCCTTCATGACATCTGCAACATCAAATTCCTGACCTAGCATTTTTTGAACATTTTTTTGAAAGATTATGTTTAATTGTTCCAAAATACATTTTGATATTTCAAGTGAAATTTCATTTTCTGGAATAAAGACGCTCAACTATTTCTTCATTCAACGGGTACTCTAGAACAATAACGATTACTCATATATAACTTGTGTCATCAGACATGGCGGCTACAAACGAAGTTTCCCTAATGTCTGTCCTTATCCTATCGTGGTATAATTGTAGCAGGCAGCAAATTATCTTAATCCGAGTGATTTTAGAAACACGACTGAAAAACGTACTGGTTTCTAAGGGATTCTTCAAATCTGCGTCTAATTTAGATGAAAAATGTATTCATCCTCTAAATCTTTCTGGATTTACTGAATCATCTTTTACATCATGTCCACGTAAAGGAGTTTCAAAGTTTCCACAAAAATACAGTCTAATATTTTAGATATGATATCACAGTTCATTTTAAATTAATGTGATGCTCACTGATTTAAAGTCTGTATACCTCACTAAGTTTCTACTTAATATTTACGTTTCCTAAAAAAGAAAATGAATCCATATTTTCAATATGCTTCTTTGACTTTGCATGTTTCACAGTTTTTCTTTCGTTTTGTTAATATTTATTAAACTGTCTTTTGTCCACAAGACAAATAAGGGAAAAAAAACAACATTTTGAGGCTAGTTTAGTTACAAATGACTATAGGGACACAAGAGAGACAGTTAAAAAAAATAATGTAAAACGCATTGGTAACACACCGTAACGAAACTGACCACAATTTTAAAATTAAAGAAAATGCTACCCTAATTTAAAGATAAAATAATTTCTTAGGAGAGAAAAGTCTAGAAGGCCACAGTAAATTTACGTCCAGGTTCTTACAACATAACACTATTCTGGGTAGATTTTCTGTCTTTACATTGTTGGACATTTAAAAACAAGGATGATGGAAAGAAAAGAAAAAAGAGATACATGAATTTGGCTAAGTTGCAAAAATTATTACACAAAGTTTTGAAACTACTAGCATGTTTCGTTCATGCGTATGCGTAGTCACAACAACGTCAACAAACCAAGTCTGGTCAAGCTGTTAACAGATGAAACGAGACACAAATAAACGTTTTCCATTTTGCCTTACAATTTCTTGAATATATATATATATATATATATGTGTGTGTGTGTGTGTGTTTGTATCTCCATATGTCTGTGTATGTGAAAGGGATGACGGGACAGTAGGAGAGTAAATGTTACTTGATTCGTGAAACAGACAGTCACCACGCAGTATTGATTTCTATGTCCGCATTTTGTATCAGTACACTTTCTATCTGCTCACTTATCCCATAAATAGAGTAAAGTTTTAATATGATACACGCACACACACCCGTAGACACACACACACACATACACACACACATACACACGCATACACACATGCTTATCGATACAGTCGAGCTACGTATTAAATATTTATATTTTGTTTTCCCATAAATACGATGATTTATGAATGTAATTCATTTATTGATGTCTCTTTGTGCGTCTTTGCTTCTGTGCGTGTGTCTGGAGGTTATAACAATATATGTTGGAAATGATTTATATCTTTGTATCTTTCGTCACCTACTCAAGTCGATTTGCCTTTAAACTATACATCGTAAACAAAGACAAGTAACTCTACACATTCAAGTTATCTCGAAAGAATTTTAGAATCTAAAAATAGTCCCGGATTAAATAAAGAATAAAATAATATAAGACACTCGCTCATAAAGAAAGATAAATAATTACTAAGGAAAGCAATAATGTTTATAGAAGTGGATAGATAAAAAAAAAACCGAAAAAAAAACAATAATATTGCTCCTTAAGGGAGCAATAATCACGAGTTGGTTTTTACTCCCTCCCTACAGATATATATATATATATATATATATATATATATATATATGTGTGTGTGTGTGTGTGTGTGTGTGTGTGTGTGTGTCTGTGTGTGTTAAAGAAGTGATTATTTTTTATTTATTACTTCGACAGATTTTTATCACATTTTAGTGGTCACAATTATTTGAGTATTTTTCATATTTAAAGAGTATTGTATTTTCTAAGTAAATGAGAATATTTGCAAGTACTTACTGAATTTACAATAAATAGTCGATTCCTTATTTAGTTTTGAATAAATCGTGAAATTTTGATTCATTTTATTCATACTTAGAGATGTTCTAAAAATTGGTGCAATCCAAAATTATTCGTGTCTCAGATTATGGAAATTATGAAACAATATTTCTCTATGGCAATTGTAATATTTTCTTTCTTAATACGAAATTTAATACAAATACACATGTGACAATAAAATAGTATTTTCATGATTCTATAACATTCTAAAAGGTAATGAAGAAGACAAAATATGTGTGCCACGCACGGCGATAACTTTTTCGTTTTGTAACAATGACGAAAATGGCTGAACACGTGAAGAAGCTCCGATGGAAGATGCAATCAAAATATGTGATGGATATACAACTCTTTCCAATTTTTTAAATGTTTCTAGATCGAAAATTTGTAGAATTATCAAGAAGTAAAATGGGACACATTGTGTTCAGAATAAAATAATAACTAGCAAAAATATGGTTAACGTCTGAGAGAAGAGAAAGGAAATGTGTTTTAGATTTCTTAAGGATTCATTACTTAACAACAAAGGATGTTGCAATGATGTAAAGACATCAGGGTTGATTGTATCCATGAAAACAGACACTAAATGCTTTCATCAAGCTGGATTTCAATCTTGTCTTACAGGGAAATCTCCCTTGATTAAGTCTAAACACCTACAATGCAGATTAGCTTATGCTATAATCCATGTAGAACATGGGGTAAGTACTGGAACTTTGTTTTATCGTTAGATGAAACCAAACTAGAATTATTTGGTCACATGAGTTCCTGTTATATATATCGAGGAAATTGAATGAAACTGACAAACAAAAAAATACATTCCCTTTCACAGTGGCAACGCTCATCAAGCTGCCCAGGCACAGAGGGACCGTAACACTACTCTCACTGCATTGTTTAAACTGAATGAGCATGATGATGATGATGATGATGTAAGGAACCACATTTACCCTGACATTCCGTTTAATAAACGCTTAATAGAATGTGAGCCCTAAAGAGACAGAAAAAAATTCATTTTCGAATGTTGTTGTTGCATATTTCAGGCGGCGTAAGCTTCCAGGATCTGCACACTGTAGAAGGAGAAACCTTGTGATATGATCTTCTCTCAAACGATGACACACTAGAACATGCATTGCTAGAAGCTGCTGTCTGTCGCATGCCCTTACAGTTGTGTGTTATGTTTGCTTCCCCGTGCACGTATATGAATCCTAAAAATACTCTTCACCTGTGCTGCTTGAAACTATATGTTTAATACTATGTTTTCATATCTACGAAGGAACAAATGCAAGGTGTGGAGTGGTGCTTGAACAGACATTGTCTCTACATTGCAGTCAGGTGGAAAGACAATACATAGTTTGTTCAAATTGCCTGTCCTACTCCAGTATTTGCAATGTACCAGCCACTTCAGACCATGCAAATTATTTACGAAACCTGGATTTGATTATCTGGGATTAGGCTTCTGTGATCGATTCATTTGCTCCTCATTCTATTGATAAATCCTTGCGGGATATCACTGGCATTGTTTCTATTTTTGGTGGTAAAATTATGCTCTTGGGATAACTTTAGACAAGTTCTACCCATATTGCCAAGAGGAAGTAGTGAGACAATCATTAAAATCTGTATTAAAAATTATTTTCTAAGTCTGATTTCCATTGATTACAGATTAAGCCAAAACATCAGGACAACAGATCAAAGAGAATTTGCAGCATTGCTCATGCATCTTGGCAATGGAACATTAGCAGCTTTACAAGACCCTAATCTTGCTGTTGAGGTCATAGAAGTGCCTAAAAGATCTCTGCTGGATGATATCTTCAAAAATATATCTGAACAAGATAGAAGGAGCAGAGTGATTATTCGGCAAATAACTAAGACTGCCTCCTGATCAATAAAGTTTTGAGACAACTTCCAGGTGACTGCTACACCTCTTATGATGCAAATAAACTTTCGACAGATGGTCTTTTCTTGGTCTGAACACTACCCTCTTGGATTTCTAAAAACTTTGGCACCATCAACAATGCCTCCTAATAAATGAGTTTAAATCCTAGCTCAATAGTAATTCTTATTCGTAACATTTTCATCCAAAATGCGTTCTGCAATGGTCCTCATCCACAGAGTAAAGTGTTTTCCGATATTTTGAAGATCACTGATTGCATGTGTGCCCTTGGTTTATATGTATACATACATATATATATATATATATATATATATATATATATATATATATATATATATATATATATATATATATATATATATATATATTAAATATATATAAAATATATATTAAATGAAAAAAGTATTTATATGTGGCATGTTTTATAGTTTTTTATCCATATAGGTGTATTGTTTTCTGTATTCATATTGGAGGGAAATGGCATGAATCTGTGTTGGAAATGGGTGAGTACTACGAACTGACTGGATTTGGTAATCTTTACACACATGGTCAACACTGTCAACTATATCTATGTGTATTGTATGTTAGAAAAATGATAGATTTAATAGCTGAAGTTTATTTGTAAATATAACTGTACAAATAATTTCTCCTTCTTCAATACGTTATTTTTATACATACATATATGTACAAAGTTTATTGTTTACTCAAAATTCTATTATTCCACTGTTGCCGCTAGTAGATATATAATTACCTATATCTATCTATCTATCTATCTATCTATCTCTGTCTCTCTCTCTCTCTATATATATATATATATATTTATATTTACTTGAATTATTATATATATATATATATATATATATATATATATATATATATATATATATATATATATATATATATATATATATGAATATATTGATGTTTACCTTCAGCAAACGGAGGATATGATCACAGGAATTCAACACTTTGTTCATGAATTTGTCATATTTTGTATTATTTTTTCTGTTTTTGCACCGACACACACCGGTCAATTTTTTTATGTGAACAGAATCTTCCAAAAAATGTTGGTTTTTTTTTTTTTTCGAATTTTAGATCCTTGATATTCTTTACCAGCTCAGTTAAAAGATAACGATGTAACTGTGAATCCTGTAGATGCAACATATTCGTAATCATATTTTTTTTCCAACTTCTAATCTTCGCCGTGTTTGTAAACAAATCATACGACCTTAATTATATTAATTTTCTTAAAAAATTTCCATTGCTATCTGCTAACCAGTTTAAATATTCAAATCTCATGTATTATCTCCCTTTTCTAATCGGAAAACTTTTAAATTTTTCTTCACGCGTTTATTTCTCGGACCATTCGTGTTGAATGTCGATTCGAACTTGAAAACGTTACTTCCACTTAAGTTTTGTCCTTTCATTGTGAGATGATCTATCTAAAAACTAGCTTATTAATATTTTGTCAAAACCTTTTTCCTTTTACGTAAAAACATTTAAAATATTTCTTCACACCTTTCTCGTTATTGATTTGCAGTTGGCTGATATAAAGATGGGTTTAAATGTTACATGTACTCATTTCTCCTCCGTTTAAATTTCGGCTGAATTCAACTGTGTCAGAGTACATGGAGTATCCGGAGTATCCGTATGATATTGTGAGAATCATATATCGAAGTATATAGTGCCGGAAAATATGTTTGAACTTAAGGAAACAGCAATCGCTCGGTACTAAAAAATTGAACTTACAACACGATAGTAATTTGTCTGAATGGCTCATGTAGAAGTATCGTGAATCTTCAGTAATGAAATGGTTCTATTTTTGTTTGTGGAGGGAGAATTACTTTTGTGACAATCACACCTGCGGAAAAGTACTAAGAATTCTGTTATTTCTTTGATCATGTAACTACAAAACAATTCTTTTGATCAGAGATTACTTTCTACAGACTACATTATGCCTTTATATGAAAATGGTTGCACATATAAAACTTAAGTCTTTTGATATCTGATTCGATTATATAATATCAATCAGTCAACGTTAACTAAGAGATCTTTTTAAAGATCATGCCCTTTCAGATCATATAAGGTCACAGTTCTCTAAAGCTTTCTTTTATTTACTATCACTGAATTGACATGATCTCCTGGGAAACATAGTAATAAGTTTTCCGTTATCTTCCCCACGGTTCTCGATTCGACATTTTTCATGGACTAGATTCCACCAAACATCCAATAGCACCATCTATTCTGTTATTTAACCCTTACGTAGCAGAAGAGGAAATGGCATCAAACATTTTCCAATGGCATTAATACGAAGTGAACTTTACATATACTTTCAGAATTTTTTCACATCTGTCAAGTTCCACTTTTGCCATCTATAACCGTTACGTCACCCGTACATCAAGAAAAGGAGATAACTCGTCCTTAAAGCTAGCCATAATTCTTGCATCACTTCTGTAAATTTTATGAGAATTAATAACCTTTACATTTTTACTGCATTTAACATTGAAATTTTCTTTTCTTTTTTATTTCTTATATTTTTACTTGTTTTTAGTTTTTGCTTTTAAATGTAATTAGAACTTTCTCGATAGCGATATATTTTCTTTGGGCCACTGATTTAAAATTTGATAAATGCGAAAACTGCTTCGTCTTTAGTCTGGGATAAATTTGATATTTACGCTGTTAATGATCTACTTAAGATGGACGTGGGTATGGCAATTTAAAGTTCTGCCCAATTAAAATTATTATCCAATGCTGAAGAATGCTGTGTAAACTGGAAAACATTTTTGAAGCCAAGTAGGACTGTTAATGATATATGGTCGGTTTGAATACTCGATTCGAGTTATTTAATATATTATGGATTCATTTTTTAACAAAGAATTAAGGTTAAACCTTATTTTTGATCTTATAGTTCCATTTATTTGGAATTAATGAACGGCAAGTAATTATTCACTAAGTTTAGCTTAGTTTGGACCCAAAGCCACAAGTATGGAGCACCCACTGAAGAGTTAATCAATGACATGTATTTAGCTTTAGTTGTTCATTCTTGAACTTATATTACATAGAGGATCAATGGGTGTGTGGGTTGGGTAGCTGTAAACCAAAGCGAAATATAGGATTGGCGTTTTGAGCTCAAATTCCTACGGCAGCTATTTCGTTAACATCCAAACAAGTGACATTGGAAATACAATTTCTTCTCTTCAATAGCAGATCAAAGAATACTGGGCTCTTTCACATTGGCTGGCAACCAGCGTAGGAGAACAACAACCCTGAATTCAAAACAGGTCGCTAGCACTCCTCAAATTTGTTAAACTCTAATTGTCACGTTGTACAAAATAACAGTACCTAGTGTGGTGAGGATCTTGACCCTAGCATATAAGTTATGATGCGCAACTCCACAGGTGGTCAACAGCAGAAGTCAGCAACTTTTTACTATGTGTCGGCTTAGGGTTTTAAAATCATTCAGTATGCCAACAGCATACGTATTTTTATACAATTCAAGGTCTGTATACCTGTTCTACAATATATACTATATAGTAATATATAGTATATATACTTTAGTAAACATTATATTGATACAGCTAAATATCTTCTTTGAGTTGTAGTAGTTATTGGTTCGGACTTCGCAATGTCATTTGCGGCTGCGTGCCATTGGAAATTGTTTGGTGTGCCACGTGTGGCACGCGTGTCGTATGTTGCCGAACCCCAGAGTTAATCGACTGGTAAAAAAAAAATCTGAAATTTCGAGTGAATTATTTTTAATTTGCAGTGGGAATGAGCGTGTAGCACATAAGTTGTTAGTGATATTTCAGGCAATTTACAATGATTATTATCAATCATATGATGAATACAATTTTTGTGTTGTCCTTTAATATGTAGATAAACAACGGAAGAAAAACCGAGAATTTTTAGCATAAACTAATTCTTCATGAACCAAAGGGAAACTGTTGTATTTGTAATAAACTGAGTTTGGTCGATTCTTTGTTTGAAACTTAACGTCTTTGGCTAATATTTTAGCTCAATGCGATAATCCTTTATTTTTAGAGATCCATTAAATCCCATATGACTTCTGACCAGGAATAATCGTTACAGTATCAGTGGGAGATTATGACTCGCCAACGATTTCACCAATTACATAATAATAATTTATTATAATTTATTGCATTTCTTTAGAGAAATTTCTCCAAGAAATCAGATTTTAAAAGACTTAGTCTTTGCTAAAATTTTGGAAGACTTTGTCTTTGTTAAAACATTATGTTAGAATGGAATTATAAATCGAAATGGTAGATGTTGGAAAAAACCCTAATTAGCGTCAATATAGAAAAAAAATAGCTTAATTTTAATTAATTGAACTAACGGAACTTTATTACTTATCAGCATCAAGTAATTTCCACTATTTTTGTTCTCATTGTATTTACTGTGTAGTAATGGTATATATAGTTTATATGTACCTTATTTACACGTGGACTATTGTCCCTATGTTTGTTTTTTCGGTGGGTCACTGTCAACCCATGTAAACTTTAATTTACGGGGGAGATTATTTTCGTCCTGATGTTCATTTCGTGAGATTTCTCACCTTGTTCTTATTTAGTTCTGATTGGCTTATTGATTGACCCGTTTATACTGACTCAAAGTACACACTGCCCATCCTAGAGCTTGAACTCACTATTATATTATCAATTGGATTTCATAATCTCAACCCTAATTACGGCTTTTCAATGTTGTTGTCTTAATCAATTCAACACAAGCAAGACGGGAAAGTCATGAGTACCTCAAGGTCTTACAGAGAGTTAAAAGTCTTTTCGTAGGGGGGGTGAAATAAGGATAAAAGCTGAACGGTGTTCAAGACGAAAGAACATGGCGATTGGCGTTGAATTTAAATTTTTGAAGATTGTAGTTATCAGGCATAAAAGAAACAGAAGGTGATTCCCCAGGTGGAGAGTGCGAGAAAAGAAACTGTTGGAATAAAAGGGGTGGTTACATTTAACTTTTTCAACAATAAAAAGGTGGGACCTACATGCCAATCTAGTAACACGCTTAAATTTATGTAGTAAGGGCATCAGAAAAAAAAACCTTGTCAGAGCGGTTGCCATGAAAATATCTACAGAAAAGACAAAAGTAAGCCACGTCACGTCGGTGAAAAAGTGACTGAAGTCGATATGCCAAGTCAGGATAGATTAGATTGCAGATCCCCCTTTAGATTTTGTCAACAATCTCGAGATGAATAGCAGCAGCGCCATACCAAATATGACAAAAGTATTCAATGCACGGCTGAATGGTAGATTTGTAAATGTGCCAAATGGACTGTGACCAGAAAAAAAAAAACTTCTGGCATGACACAACAAACCAAATTTCTATCCGGTAGATGCAACTATTGAATCAATGTAGTTGTTCCACTTCATGTCAGTTGAAAGCGTGAGACTAATAAAGTGCAACAGTACTCACTTCAACAGTCGAGCATCGCTCATGCTGATGGACGGCTCGGAAGATACCTTATGTTGGCTAAATGAGAGCAGTTTAGTTTTCGAGGCATTAAAATTTGCAAGCCATTTTCTGCCCCAGTTAATCACTGATTGGGGATCCTTTTCAAAATCTGCAGCCAAGTTAACTTTGTCAGCTCTGACGGATTTGCTATTGAGACAGGAGGAAATGATAGTGTCATCTGCATACATGCCTACTGGGGAAATGATGAACATCAGAAACAGAATAGGACCCAGGACATGGGGGACACAGGCGTTCGGGTGAAAGTATCTGAAAGCGAAACGTTCAGAACGACCTTCATTACCCG